ATTGGGTTCTCTATGTCTACTTTCAGGACTTGTGTGAAAATCTGATGATGAATTGGGTCATATTTATGCAGAAATATAGAAAATTGTAAAGGGTTCACAAACTTTCAAGCAGCACTGTATATCATCATTATTATACAATATTATTAACCATGTGCATTATGTACAGAGGTTCTAATCAAGGCATTTCCTGTCATGTTTTTACTTTAAACTGGGATGGTAATAAAAGAAGTATTATAACATAAAAAGGCATCCTCAAAAACAGTTGCCTTACAATATGTTTTTCCCAAGGCCACAGTGGCGACAATAAGATGAGGACTGTCCAGTTTATGGTTCAAACTTATTGGAGATCCACAATTATTCTTTTATGATGTGCCATCATATCATTCATGCTTTTGATGAACAGCTTGTCTCAGTCCTTCAACCACACTGTGCTTCTCCCAAGACATCAAGACAAGTCGCCGATGTCTTTGAGCTTCCCTCTCAATGTCCACTGCAATTCTCCACTGTGCTTCACTTCTGCAACCATTTCATCCAATAATATCATATCCCTCAGCCGCTCACAACAGCAGCTCACAGAATAAACGTGAGCCATCAGTCCCAAAGACATCCAAACACAAGCTGTTCCACACCGCAGACAGGCATCATCCTATTGGCTGACACCCAGTGTGCAGAGCACAGACAGCGTGACACAGTTTCATCAATTTCTAGAGTCATATATATGAAGCGAGGTGACGGAAAACAGGTGGGAGTGAAAGCATGAAGATAATCAAATGATGCATGTGGGGGTGTAACATCTTGACTGACAAGTAACAATGAAAAGAGAAGGAGACAGACATGAAAAAGTGTCTGCGGTTATGCCAGTGTCACTCATTTGCCATAACCCCCTCGATCATGTCACTCAGCTGAGTCTCACATTAAGGTCAAATTACACGGCTCAGATTTACTCTCAACAGGTGAGTGACCTCACACTTATAATGACAGTATGTGACAGGCCTATCAGAGAGCTGGAAGCACATGACACACATGCTGCTCTAGTATAATACAGGGTTCCCACACTTTTTCACCACACAATCTCCATGACTTCTCCTGTCATTCAAATTTTCCAGATAAGGATTCACAACAGCCAATATTTTAGAGCTGCAAATAGCTAGAAAAAAACCTATTTGTTACAGTCATTTTATGACTTTAAGATTTTATTCAATTCCATGCCTTTTCCAGCATCCCAAATTTTAAAAGCTAATAACATGTATTTTAAAAATATAAACCACAATAAACAGGTGTTGTAAAAGACGTATCAGTGCAAAGTTGCTAAATTGCCTGATAACTGTAAACATCATACAGGTACAGTGCCGTGAAAAGGTTTTTGCCCCCTTCCTGTTTTTATTTTTTGCATATTTCTCACACTTAAAAGATTCAGATCATCAAACAAATTGTAATATTACACAAAGATAATGCAAGTAAATACAAAATGCGTTTTTTTAAATGATGATTTCATTTATTAAGGGAAAAAAGCTGTCTAAACCTACCTGGCCCTACGTGAAAAATGTATTGCTCCCTCCTTTAAAATCATGAAAGAACTGTGATTAACCACATTATTTTAGAAAGCTGAGTTAAATTTCACTAGCCACACCCAGGCCTGATTACTGCCAGAGACCTCAAGCTCAAGCGCACTTTGGTTATGCAGCAGGACAATGACCCGAACCACACCAGCTAGTTCACCTCTGAATGGCTCAAGAAAAACAAAATTAAGGTTTTGGAGTGGCCAAATCAAAGTCCGGACCTAAATCTGATTGAGATGCTGTGGCATGACCTTAAACAGTCATTTTCATGCTCGAAAACCCTCCAATGTGGCTGAATTAAAACAATTCTGCAAAGAAGAGTGGGCCAAAATTCCTCCACAGCGATGTGAAAGACTCATTGCCAGTTATCGCAAATGCTTGATTGCAGTTGTTGCTGCAAAGGCTGGCACAATCAGTTATTAGATTTAGAGGGCAATTACTTTTTCTCGTAGGGCCAGGCAGGTTTGGACAGCTTTTTTTCCCTTAATGAATGAAATCATTATTTCAAAACTTCATTTTGTATTTACTCGGGTTATCTTTGTGTAATATTAAAATTAGTTTGATGATCTGAATCATTCAAGTGTAACAAATATGCAAAAAAAAAAAAAAAACACACAACAGGAAGGGGGCAAAAACTTTTTCACACCACTGTATGCAAATAATCATATTACTTAGCATAATAATTCTTTATTTTGATTATCATCAATAAACAATTTACTGAACAGTGCTATCTTTTATCAAACTGCTGTTGTCAGACAAGCCTGTGCATTACAGTGATTTTACTACAGTTAAAGGGATAGTTCACTCAAAATTTAATTTGCATCATCCTTTACTTTTCGTTAAATACCTTATGACTTTCTTTTCTATGAAACATAAAAGATGATATTTTGAATATTTTTATTTGTCCTTTCAGTGGAAGTCAATGGGCACCAAAACATCTTTTTTACCAGTGTAGTCAATGGGCACCAAAACATCTTTTTTACCAGTGTTCCTCAAAATGTGTACATGATTTATGAATAACAGAATAAATGACAGAATTTTTGAGTGAACTATGGTTTTAAGGGGATTTGCACTTCATTTGGTGCTGAGGCTGATATGTACACAAATAATGAGTGGCTTGTGTCCCTACTGCACATTCATTGGATTTGCCTTTCATTTATAATATTTGTCTCCTCAAATCTAAACAAACTGATTATGTTAATTCAGATGTAACAGAATATTTAATTAAAATATTGCATGCAGCAAGCAACGATGCTCACATATGAAAGGCGCTGTCTGTTTTGTCCTGTTTGTTTTTGGCTGTGCTTGAATAAATAAAAAATAAAAAAAACTCTGAATGTAAAGTCTGTGGTCATGGTCTGGTCTGGTCATGTTTTGTTTTACTAACAGGGTCACTGAACACTCTCTGGAATCTCTATTCATATCACAAGTCATTATAGCTCATACTGGCACCCAAAGGTCATATTTGCAGTTACTATTGTGTCTGAAAAATGGCTGTCATGCCTAGAAAACCAAAGTCTGTGAACACAGCGTATAAAAGCGCACCTCCCTCTTATCTTTAACGTGCTTCTGCCTGATATGCTTATGAAAGGGAACAAAAAAGTTATTTATTTTACATTTTGAAGGATAGACCTGTGGCAAAAACATCAAGCTATTAAAATGATTTAATAGCTTTTCTAGGCACACCAAAAAGGTAGAACGATGAAGAAAAAACATGAAGTTTGATTTAAAACCCATAGATCTCTGGATACCTTTTAAAAGAGAATTTAGAATGACTGAAAAAAAAGTCAAATATTAGGGCTGCACGATTAATCGAATGTGAATGTCATGCGGATTTTGTTAAAAAAGCCGGTTCTGTAATCAGCAGGAAATCATCATCACAAATATCAAATCTTCATTTGAATCTGCATCTGTAATCTTGAACTAAATTCCACTTCATATCACAGAACAAAGAAAGTCTGAATCAGAATCAATCTTGACAAGACTAGAAAAGAATAAAATCTCTCAAACTTTTCAGTTACAGTACATATTTTCTGTTTTTAGTGACAAGAACCATATAAAGACAGAAACTATCAACTATCTAAATTAACTCTTTTTTTATCTCAGATAAAAACACACACAATGCAATATATATAGTATATTAAATATCTTGCTTTGCACTAAGATTCAATAAGTCTTGAAACTGACCACACAAACTTAAACCGATATATCAGACCTGAACACAATACCAACAGAATGCAATTTCTGAAGAGTGAAATCACTAAGTTTTCAGTATGCTCTTTAGCCCGAGGGAACGGTTTTGTTCGCCAGCTTTACACATTGCACTTAATGACAGTGTTTCTCCAGCTGTCATCCAGCCTATCAGGAGTGCTGGAAATGCACTGAAGTTTTACGCAGGCTGATCAGGCAAATGAAGGACAATAAAGATGAGCTTCATTAGGTACACAAAACCCTCACAATTCCAAAGCATGCAATGCCGCAGCAATCCCATCTTCTTTATTAAACAAACAAGTAGCCAGAAGAAAAAAATACCCCACTGTCTCCCTCACCTCTCAAATACAAAGAATTTTCAAGAAAAATACTGTCCTCCAGCACCACTCCAGTGAATAAATAGAAGAGATGATGCCATTTTTTTACAGCATTTTATTCCATCGCTACTATGTAATGTGGTTTAAAAAAAAAAGAAAAAAAGTCTGTTTTGTTTTTATTTGTTCTTATTTCTTTTTATTTGTATTTATCTATTTGCATTTATTATAAAGATTTTTTTTATCATAAATGAAAATAATATAATTTAATAATATTAATTGAATTCATATAATTAATTAATCATGTAATTAATTGATATAGTTGAATATCTGTAAATACATCTTTTTTTTTTTACTTTTTAAATAGTACCACTATTTGTTTTATTAGTTTTGGATAGGAAGATAAGAAACAACAAATTATAAGTAATCAATGCAGAAATTATGAAATAAGTTACACACACAAAAAAAAAAGCAGAAACTGAAAAAATGCTAAACAACTCCTGGACAAAAAATACTCATTTTTAAAGAAATAATGAAAAATATTGTTTTGTCTCTGAAAAACTAAAATTTCATCATTGGTAAAATGTCCCCCACCATTAGTATGTACAACATTAAAAGGTACATTAGGGCCTTTCGCACCGCTTTAGTTCCAGAACTAAATGTACAGTACTAAAGTACTGGGACGATTTTGCGCGAACTATTTCCCAGTACTATTTAAAGGGTTGCATTCGCACCGACAGTGTGTACTAAGAAGTGACGTAAGCCGGTCGACAGCGGCGGTGCGAAAATGCCAAAAAGTGGGTAGTTCCACAATTAGTTCTGGTACTATGAAAAGGTTCCTGCGATGCGAAAGGCCCTATATTGAACCTTGGCCCAGAACAGTGATGGATGGAGATGCTGGTGTGAAGTATCTTACCCACTGCTTTACACGTCTTGGTAACGGGGTCCATCTCGTAACCCTCGTAGCATTCACATTTGTAGTCGCCTTTGAGGTTGATACATATTTGACTGCAGGCATCAGGGTTCTCGCATTCGTCTATGTCTGGAGAGTACCATCAGAAAAGCATTAGAAACAGAGCAGAGATACACAGAGAACAGAGGCTTTTGTAGCGGAGTGTCCACAGACAAGATAAATGATGCTTGCAAACATCTGGGGATTTCTCTACTATCAATTTCAAAGTGATGATGACGCTGAGAGTAAACAAATCATAGATGATCACAATGCACGTACAACAGTGGTCTATTGGGAAAATTTGTACAATATAGTCTTGCACAGCATCAAAATGTTGGTATCTGACATAATATACATGTTACCTCCACAAGTCTTCTTGTCAAGGAGCTTGTAGCCCGAGGGACATTCACACTCATAGCCGATCTGACGGTCCTTACATACGTGAGAGCAGCCGCCATTGTTGATGGAACATTCATTCAGACCTATGACAGAAAAAAATAACAAGAAAGGTGGTGTCAAAGGTCAGCGTGCCCGGCAGCAATTGGACGGTAAGTGCCCACTGCAACCTGACACCAGCTGAAGACAGACTGCTTCTTTCTCATTTTCTAGGTTGAGCTTCAAGACTTTATGAGAAAGTGATGAGGTGAGTGCCGTCTAACTGAAAGACCTGCCTTAAATGCTTGTGTGTGGCACGCTGTGAGAGAGAGTGACAGAGTAATATGGCAAAGGTCTCAGCAGTATTGTGCTCAATAATTCTCTGAGCAACTAAAACATTTGGGCATTGGCTGATGGCTCCCTCCATTACAGATGACAGTCAGAATACACATACATCACTCTTTTATGTCATCTCTACAGTATGTCTGCTCTTTCTGACCCTAATAAAAAGCAGCAAAATATTGTCATTACCACAATTACCTCAGCAGAAAAAAGATGCAACACTCACTCTTATAGTTTTATTGAACTTTATTTGTTTAAAACAAGTAACATTTCAGCCATTGTCAAGGCCTTCATTTTTCCATTTTTTCTTCACGAGTGAGTGTTGCACCTTTTCTTCAACTGAGATGAACTCTTTACTTGGTTTGAGAATTTCTTTTTTTAACTTTTATTACAATTACCACAAGAAAGTTGAACTATCTTGTGTCATTAACCCATTTAGGACTTTACCACAGATCTACAGTGAATTAACACAAACTTTTCAGCTTGAAACTTTCAAAACATAGTCCACAAACGTCATTCAGACAGAAGTACTTTTATGTTCAGTTACAAACAAATTGTGGCTATCAATGATTATCAATACGGATTATCACATGGGATACATTCACCCATGGCACTCGTGTGATGCAGGTTTGAATCTGGCCTGCAACACATCCAAATACCACTTTCAGTCACCTCTATAGTGTTTATTTGAGAAGAAAATAATAATAATAATAATAAATAATAATAATAATAATTATTATTATTATTAAGGTTTTTAATTTTAGTTTAAAAATAGATTAGTTTATAAATAGTTGCAATTTATTAATTCAGCTTTTATTATCATTCTTAATAAGAAGACTGACTATAATAATAAAGCTGAATAAATACATAAAAACTATTTATAACTCTATAAAATAAATAGAAACTATTTTTTACACTAAATTTATTTAGCAAGCAAATATTAACACTAATAATAATATTAATAATAATAATGCAAAATAGTATATATATAAAGAAATATTAACTATTATTTATTTAATGTATTATTATAAACTATTATTAATGTATGTATTAATTACTATTATTCTGAAAGCCAATAATAATAATAATAATAGTAACAATATTAACAAGCTGTAAAATGAATGAATGAATGAATGAATGAATGAATGAATGAATAAGAAAGAAAGAAAGAAAGAAAGAAAGTTCGTGGATATCAGTGTGTTTGTATAGAACAAAAAAAGTGGACAGGTGGAGGAAAAAAGACAGCAATAGAAAGGGAGAAAGAGAAGAATAGCTGATGCTAATGCTGAGGAACAGCTGACAGCAGGAGATAGACGGAGGACAGACACACCACAGGAAGTTCAAGTGAAATAAGGGAAAGAAAAGAAAGTAGAATGAAAGGAGACGGGTTGAGAGAAGAGGCAGGACAAACACCTGGACGTGACTAAGAGAAATGCACACTCAAAAAGCGAGTGAGACACTCTCCGACAAGCAAGAAACTAACTATTTTCTCCAGGCCACATATGAATCATGTATAACAAGTAAAGGATGCACTAGTGAATACGGTAGAAGCGTAATCCCTGGCACCAGTCCTAGTGATTTTGCATGCATAGCTGCAGTGGCCCACTTGGAGCCGGTCCAGAGTGCACTGGGCTCAGAGGGGGGTGTCTGCCGTGCGTCAGGTGCCTGCACTAATCTCATCTGCTGAGTGGAGCGACCCGCAAAGGAATTAATACCATCCTGAAGAGCCACTGTGGGACCATGTATTTTACATTAAGGACTGATACAAGAGTGAACATAACCAGGAGGACAGGGAGAAAGAGAGAGGGAGAGTTGAGCAAGGAGCTGGCATTTCCTAAATACCATCTCGATCAAATTAAAGGGGTCATATGATGCGATTTCATTTTTTCCTTTCTCGAATACTTCAACTTATTGCTGTAGATCACCGTATCAGCTTTCACCGTTTTCACTGCTCCTTCGCCGGGACCGCCGTTCTCGACCTGCAAGGTGTTGGAAAACAATCCGAACATTTAGCTAGGAAGATATTTTTCTTATAAAGGTGAAGTGTGCAATATCTATGCGACAAGTGATGCCACATGTATCTGTTCGTGAGCGCCGCAATGTTGTGGTTTTATGTGACAGCAGCGACTCTGGGCATGAGACTAAAAGCGCAAATTCTAGTGGTTGGCCATTTTTTCTTTGCAGTGTGATGGAAAAGATTAGACCAACTATCTATAAAAAACCTGCCACATTGATGCCATGCGAATGTTCGCTTCGGTCTGAGCAAACGCATTAATAGCAGTTTATTCAAATTAAAATGTTTAATCAAATTTGTGCAGTGTGCACCGAATTTGTGTCTTAGTGTGAACAGGCATTTAGTTAGGGACTTGGTCACTCATTCGATTGCTTAGAAAAGTATGCAAACCTTTAAAACACGGTTATTATCATTAACTAAAATTAAGCTATTAACATTTTTTTGGTTAACTGAAATATTAGATGAAACACTGAGCAAAACTTAACTGGAAATAAATACAAACAAAAACGCAAACGGAAACTGAAATACAAGTAAATTATACTTTAATAATAATATTTTAAACTAATAAAGTGACAAAAGCACTAAAACTATGATTAAAATGAAAACTGAATATATAAAAATAAACACCATTCAAAATTCAAAATAGTAATAATACTATAAATACTAAAATAACATGGCTTTGCAATAAGATTAAATATAATTCCATTAGGTATAATTAACTAACAATGAAGAATTTGTTTATCTCCTTATGTTCCATCTGCCATTACTTGGGAAATATGCAATCCTGCTCCAAATCAACACTACTGGTTGAGCCAGAAGCTGATATATTGAACTGCTCAAACTCCCACGAGCGTTTATACACTTCATGAAGCTGATCAATGAATGATTTACCTACAGTTGTCTCTGTACATTAAACTTGGAAAGAAGAAAGTATTTTAACATCAAAAAACAAAATTACACACTCCCCCAAAATCTGGCATTTTCAGTTTAAGCTTATCGCTGAAGAAAAAGTCCAGTTCCACAATGTGATGTAAGACAAGAACAGAGAGAAAAAAACTGATCTATGGAAACCTGCATTCTCTCTGGAGAGCAGGAGAACATGCTGGGCACGTTCTGCTTGTATGATAGCACGCGAGGGAAGACTCACACTTTCATCTTAATGATCGCTCTGTGGGTTGTTGGCCCTTGATCAAGTGAAGCCCCTAATAAGCCAACACTGCCTATAAGCTTAAATGCTGGACTAGCTTTAGTTTTCCATCTCCAAATTCAGAGTTACTAGAGAGAAGGAAAAAGCTGACCCTAGATCACTTTTGCAATTTAATCTCGGCTTCCCACACTAAAACATGTCATTTCAAAACTTGCGTTCTTATATAATACCTAATTTAAAAATAAAGTCCCAAATCTATGCTTGTACCAGTAAACAATTATTTAGGATCTGTGTAATTGTGCAAAAGTGTCTGAACTCACCGCACTCCTTCACAGGCTCGTCAGACCAGTCCTTGCAGTCCTTGATACTGTCGCACACTTTACCGCTATCGATACATTCCCCGCTCTTACACATGAACTTCAGCGGGCCTTCACATTTGGTGGCTGTCAAGGACACAATAAAGAGTTCTTACACTTCTGATCTTTGCGGAGTACCACATAAATACAACTAAATTATGTAGAGTACAAAACATGAACTGCCATTACACAAAACACATTTCAAGCGACACTCGTTGCATGAATGTTCATTTTGCTCTTTGCTGTACAATGACAATAGACAGTGACAAGAGAAATGTGTTTCAAGCTCAAAAGTAGTACATAAAAGCACCATAAAAGTAGTCTGTGGAATTTAACACTATACTTCAGATCCTGTAAAGCCAATAAAATAGGTCTGTGTGAGAAACAGACTGAAATATATGGCTTAAGAAGATCTGGAATATAGTAGATGAGTCATATGGACTACTTATTTAATACTTTAATGGGCCGTTCACACAGTATGTGTTTTTCCATTCCAATGCGCTACTTTTCAATTGTTTTTCAACGTAAACACACTAGATGGACATGTATGACCATTCCGCTTGAGTCTCTCATGTTATTTTACGGCAACATGGCGGAGGAGGCATTCTGCACTGCACTTTTTAACAAAACATTCCTGAATGCTTCGTCTCACATTTTTAAATGCAAAGACGCGTTTGTTGTGAACAGCCCCTAATGGTGCTTTGTTTTTTGTCCTTTCTGGATCTTGACAGCCCCCCGGGTCACTGTACTGTATGTTGCGTTTAAAGTCTACATGTTTTTGAAAGAAATCTCTTACCAAGGCTGCGTTTATATGGTTAAAATTACCATAAAACAGTAATATTGTAAAAATGAAAAGTTTTCTGTTTTTATATACAATAGTCAACATTTGAAGCGGATCAAAAAAGTTCATCAAAGTTGTCCTAAGACAAGAACGCATTTTGGTTTTAGGTTTTAGGACAACACTGATGAAAGGTTTTGATCCACTTCAAATGTTGACTTGTGTAATTTAAAGTGTAATTTATTCCTGTTCATGCAAAGTTGAATTCTAAGCAGCCATTACTCCAGTCTTCAGTGTCACATGATCCATCAGAAATCATTCTAATATGGTTAAGTAACATTCATTATTATTATCCATGTTGAAAGCAGCTAATATTTTTGTAGAAACCATGATTTTTTCAGCATTCTTTGATGAATAGAAAGTAAAAATATAAATCTTTTGTAACATTATGTCTTGACTGGCATTTTTTTTTACCATTTTAATGCATTTTTGTACACTGAACAAAATGCATGAAATCTTTGTTGTTTTAGGACCAACACAACGAATGCTGATACTATGTTCTACTTAAATCATGTTATGCATCACTAATCAGATACAGCAATGGCATAATTAATCTTTTGAGGTAAATTTGATTGAAGGTGCCATATGGGAAGTGTGCCATGAAACCCTGGAATCATGTAGGGGTACATCTGTTTGGTCTTGTAGTGCTTTGTGTGAATGTTAACTTGATTGGGGCTACAGGATTTGGTGCTCTCGACTCTTTCATCTTCACTGATAATGCTGCTAGAAGAGGGTAGAGATGAAGAGGCTAATCAAATGAGAGATAGCGAAAGGGAGATTGTTGAAGTTACTCACTTTTGTTGATGCAGGCAGCCTCGTCGCTGAAATCTGGACAGTCGTGCACTTTGTTACACTGTTTAGTGCCATGAATGCAGGAGCCATCGCCACACTGGAACTCATCAGGACGGCAGGTCAGCACAGCTGTTGGACAGAAACAAACGTTTATGTAGGACAATCATTCCTGCATCTACATATATCAGTCTGGCCAATGAATAGATCAATATTTGGTCATTTTGAGATGGTCAAATAAACTGAAAACTGCAGAGCAGATCATGATTTACTGATTCCCAGAAGTGGCCATTTCATCTGTCAATTCCAAAATCTACTGACATCCTTGTCAATGGATAGTGCACATGCTCTGTTTTTAAACATGTGTAGTTCATTTTCAGTAAATGATGATAAAATAAATGTTGCGATCTCTGAACATTAAAAATAATCAGTCACTTACTCTGGGGCATAAGGTAACACACCGAAGAAAGAAAAATATGCTTTTCGGCAAAGAAAGGTTTTAATTTTTCACATTCATCTTTTAAAATCCCTTTAATCTTTCATACGGTGTACTTTAGAGGAGCTGCGGAGCGAGAACATTCACCGTGATCAATTTGACCTATATTTTTGCCCTGTTTTCCAGTAAAAATAAATAACCCACCTTAAAACTAAATATATTCACTTGAGAGGCAAAACTGCATGTAATATTAGTTTTATAAGTTAAATTCTATATGAATGCATCAACTGTATCTGTTATATCACCTCCAGTTTGGCTTTTGAACTGTTACTTTGTGGAAACATAGTTTGTTATTATTCATATACAGTATGTAATAATTTATTAAACATTGGAGTGTTTAATCATATTGCCGTTGCTGTCATTTTATTAAAGCGGTAAGCATGCAGTGCTGTTATCATTAACTAAAACTAATACTATTAAAAATGTTTTTCAACTAAATAAAGCTAAAATAAAATATTAGATGCAATACATAAGCCACACAACAATTTAAAATTAAGTTGAACTGAAGGACTGAAATAAAACTAAAACTGAAAATGAATTGAATGACAAAGCACATAACAAAATTGCTAAAAATGAAAGTGAAAATAAAAAATAAAAGCCGATTCAAAAATATGACTATGGGCCAGATTTACTAAACAGGGCAAAGTACAGTTAGAGCGCAATTCCATAAAAGCTCCGATGGGAGGGGAAAATTCTGCAGATGATTTACTGACAATGTGCACATTAAAGAACACAGACGCAGCCAGATCATTTCCATAATGACCAGTGCAATCTACCAAGAGCAGTGCAAATCACCGCCTGCTTTAAGACATGTTTTTTTTTAGCGTTACATAATGGCGCAAATACCAGTAATTTGACGAGCACAAACGTTAGTAAATCGTGTTGCGTGATTCATTTTAATACTCTCCTCCCATAAATTTTTAGTCTGAAAGGGAAACTCCTACATATGCATATTCAATAAGGTTAGGTGCAAAAATAACTGTGTCCAAGCCTTTTCAGTGTTAATTCACTGCGTGTCTTTAGTAAATCCTGACAGTACTATTTTAACGGCAAAAGACGGTTTGCGCTGACGCAAGCTGTTAGTAAATCTGGCCCTATATATAGGGTCTTATTTATAGTCTAATAAAATATAATGCAAAATGACCAAAATATGATTTGAACAGATACAAGTATTTTGAGGACGGTGCACAATCCCCTGCAAGAACCCTACAGTGAGACCAGACTCACAGAGCGCTTACTCAAGGGCACTCTGCCATACCTCAAAACACACTTGTTGCCTAGCAACCACCAAGATTCAAGCATATTATCATGCTGCTACCACAGTAGTTCGTGAAGATTTACATGTCATAAACCCATGGAAAAAAACATAATCTCAATAAACACACACATGCTAGAACAAACTGAACACGTGTGTGCACACGCTCTGCACCAACAACGCACAAGCAAACAAAGAGTATTCAGCTGCAGGTTTTGTTTTTTCAGGATTACATGTGCTCAAACAAACACATGCTTGTTTTCTTCTGCCTCATGGAGAATCAAATCCTTGAAATGTAAAGTTAAAGTCCCCATGAAATCAAAATTAAAGTTTTTTGGGTGTTAGTATCAATATGTTAGTCTTAAGGTTATCTATAAGGCAGTGTGCTCCAAAACAGTGACAAAATTCGCATTTAGAAGATATAAGCATTCAAAGCTTGCAGTTCCTCACTTCCGCCAAAACGGCTCAACGATTTTTTTGACATCACATCATACTTCAGCTTCTCATCAAACTTTCTGTCCAATCAAATGAGACACGATAGCACGGAGCAGATCACATGCGCTAGTCGGCGCAGACCACAAAATGTATCAGAGCTTTTTGAATTCTACACAGAATTCTAAATTTTATAGCAATATGGATGAGATTGTGGCTGGCATACCCTGCCAAATTTATGCTTTATGGAGGTCAACGGCTCTAGCTCAAGCTGTGATATAAATGAACGCTATTGGCTATTTTAAAAAGGGGCGGGGCTGCTTGATATGTCCCGCCCTGTCTTCCAGTTTCAGTTAAAATGACGTCAACACAGAGTAACGCTGCGTGTTTCTAAACATTTCAGGGGACCTTTAATAAACATTCATGCTCACTGACTCTGATTCTATTGTACTGTATATAAATCAATTAAAAAAAAACTTAAATTACATGCTAATTAATTACTCTGATTACTTTTATACATCAACATTTGCTGAAAAAAAAAACACTAAATGAAGATTTTTCAAAGACAATTAGTCAAATTATTGTGGCAGACAAAGCATTGAAGTCCTTGGCATTAGAAGTCAATACAAAGTGCAGTATGTTCAAAACGGTAGTAGTTTATTTTTTAACAATAAATTGTATTAAATTAACGTTAAAATTAGACAGCTCCAATTTTATATACTGTAACAGATTGAAATCAACTTAATTTTAATAGTTTTGTAGCTTTTTTAATCTATTGTATTTTATGTGCATTTTTGATACTGCATCAGAGTATATTTTGTATTCAGAGTCTATTTTTTTCCAGTATTTTGAGTATGTTTTATTATGTTATCATTGTAAGCAGAATCGATACGCTGACCTTGTAAGACTACAGATCAACAAAACCAAGTTAATTTATGTTGACATGCGTGCAATGCATTTGTGTTAACAGAATTAGGAGGAGCAGACAATAGGGGACTGATTCTAAATGAACAACCATGTGTTTCACTGCTTTACTAGATCGTGACAGTAATTTAGAATGAGTGTAATGACAAGAACACCATGCATGCAGCATTAAGAAGAGCATGTAATGCAGCCAAGTGACTAAACTGATTATTAATTCATTTAATTAACTAAATTAATCAATTAAATCACTACACAGCAAGCCTCTCCAATGTAAATACCTCAGGAAACACGTGCTTGAGAATGATAACCGTGATCAGTATATTAAGAATATTTAGTTTTCTTGCACACTTACGGCAGTTGGCCTCATCAGACTTGTCCTTGCAGTCTACATCTCCGTCGCATTTCCAGTTGAGGTGAATACACTCTCCACTCCTGCACCGGAACTCCCCCGCCGGGCAGTGGGGTTTTTGAGGCTCCGTCCTGCGACTGCAGCGCTCTAGAGATTCATCTGACTTGTCTTTGCAGTCGGGGTCTCCGTCACAGCTCCATGGCGCTGGAATACACTCTGAGTCGTTACAGCGAAACTCGTGCGGCCCGCAGGTGCTGGCGGTGGCTGCCGTGCACTTCTCCTCATCGCTGCCGTCGCCGCAGTCATCATCCCCATCGCAGACGAACATGGGAGCCACGCACAGGCGGTTATGGCACTGGAACTCTTTAGCAGGGCAAGCCTTGGCGTCTGGAAAAAAAGAAGAATGTACTTTATTAACACAGAGTCTTACAGTCCCTCAAATACATATATAATATGTAAAAAAAATTACTTGAACAGTAAATAGTTGATAGCTGAACCTTTAACTACTGCATGCTAATACAGACATTTTAACTTGTTTCTCATTTTTTTTTATTATTCATCACGAGCATTTTTTGTCTCCTGTGTTTCCAACTTTTTTGTGCACTTTTTTAAACAAAAATATATGAGAAAATGCTAGCATTTTATCATTGTTCATATCTTCTTGGCATTGTACATATTTACATTTTATTCTAAAATGGCTTATTTAAAAGACAAAGTTGTCGAGATAGGCATCAACTATTTTCCCCATCATATTTTCCCATATTGGTAGTAATAAACTGATCCATGAATAAAAGAAACCTGATTCATAATGACATTTTCATCATCCAGGAAGTAAAATCATTAAGGACAGTCTCATTTTATAATATTTTTTGTATTTGTCATTTGGAGGTTATCTTAAAGTGTCAACCATGATATCATAATTTTGCATAAATAAAAACTGAAATATAAAATTGAAAAGTGAATATTTGTAGAAATATCAGTATTAAATTATCTTTAAAAAAAGGCCTTTATATTATTTTATATGATTAGTTTGATTATATCATTATAATTTCAAATTAAAATTGCCATCCTATGTAACACCAACTCCAATTTATTCGTAATATACATTAAAATGTAATGTAAAATATATACTTTTTTAAAATGATCATTGATAATTATTAAATGATTATAATTATTTAGTAATGTTAAATTACATTGTAAAAATTATTATAAATAATAATTATTATTTATTCAATAGAATGTTTAAAATTTTGTAAAATGAGCTTTATCAAATTTCTATTCTGAAAAACAAAAACAAAGCTCTATGCCTTCACTTTTGCTGTTCTTTTATTATCCTCCTATCCTGGCTTTTTACTATTTTGAACGATGACTGAAACCTTGTATAACGGGCATTTCTCGTGTTTACTGCCATCTTATGATAAATCACTTGTATTCCACAACTGTAAGATGCTTTGGATAAAAGCGTCTGCTAAATGAATAAATGTAAATGTATTAAATTAGTGAGGGAAAAAAAGATGTGGAAAAAAACTATGGGTTTCTGTTTAACAATGTCACATCACCAAACCTATGAAATACCATTACAGTAAAATGACTGAATCACACTTCTCACTGGAAATTTATGGCAAATGTCGCATGAGCTCTGAGCTATTCTGTGCTGATGTGAGCTCCGTGACCTCACTGATTCAACTGTGCTGCGGATGACCTGAGGTTCACACTTCAGCCCCACACTGGAGGCAGACACTAAATGGGCTTAACTGTGTTGTAGTAAACGCCTGTCCATTCTTTAATGGGGTCACCCACCCCACCGGAATAACCGTCCTGAAGAGCTGCAAGGCGATTGGGTATTACATTCACGGCTAGTTTTGTAAAAGGATTTGAAATGGCTTACGAGCATGTGATCGGGTATGAATGCGTTTGAGCGGATGGGATATGAAAGAAATCGATCCTGACTTTTTGTGACTTTGCGTCGATAAACCTGTAAATATGCAAACTATTTGCAAAGAGCAGCTGGGGCTCATAAAACACTTTCACCGTCAAAACGGTGACATTATCAAAATTGTATTGCCGGACTCAAAATCAATGTTATTTGTGTTGCTCACAGAAAGGTCATTCTTGTTGTTCATTGCACTTTAGCTGATTTGCATTTCATATTTCTGCCACCTACGCTGGTTGCTTTTGAAGCCAATTACAATAATGCTCAATGAGATATGATGCTAATTGTGTTTTTGCAAAGCTGATTAGCCAACAAGGATCTAAAAAAAAAAAAAACTAATCAACAAGGTCCATTAGGAAAGCAAACTCCGCAACTGCTGTCGGCCACTCAAAGGTCTCTTCAATGACTATCGAATAGCTGAGGGGAAAGGGTGGAACAACATCTTCTGGAATGATCTTTTGACAAATTTAACATTGGGCTGAAATTTCTAGATATTATATAGCTACATCATTTCTCCACCCTCAAGATCAAGGCAGCCAACAAACGTAGCATGTTGTTAAAAGAAAGTAACGTGATTGGATCTTTTTTGTGTGTACAGTGTATGGGCAGGAAGGTTGTGTTTGCTCTAAGCAGGGGGAGATTGGATTGGCTGAACCTTCTCTTCTCTTGTGGGACAAGAAGAGCAGTAGTGAAAATGAAAAGGTGCTCGGCCTGTGATGTAGACAGCAGCTTAAAACAACATCCTCTCAGAGAGGAACAGAACAAACATGGACCACCAGTGAACTCAGACTGACTGTCATATTCCAGCTGGAATGAAAATCAAATCATCCAGCTCTATACACTTGCAGAAGGTGTGAATTGGATGTATAAAATAAATTCACATACTAAATAAATCTATACTTAAGAGTGATTAGCGGTGCTTGCTAAGTGTTACATTGAATAAGGGACCCGAACCATTTCTAGGGACAAGAATAGGGTTGTTTACTTGGGCAAGTAAACCACCACTCAAAATATCCAAACAATTATCTTGAAATGCCCTAACAACCAACAAGAACATCCTAGAAACTGCAACTCATGTGTTAAAACACCCTACCTTATGAAAATTAACCATGGTTTTACTACAAACAAAGCCAAAAAAAAAACACATGATTATTGTAGTTAAATCAAGGTAACAACAAAATAACCATGGTTTGGCTATATTAATCATAGTTTAGCCATGGTATTTGTAGGAAAACTGTGGTTATGCAAATGGCAATCAATCCGCCAAAAAAAAAAAAAAAAAAAATTAGCACCTATATGCTTTTTAACATTTAGCATGCTAGCATCTTTACCTCTTTCATTAGCAAGGACTAAAATGTTCTTCAGAAAATGTAATTTCTAAGTATATTAACATGAGCAACCGAAATATACTTTCACAAAACTGACCACAACTGCTACCAAAAAATGTACAATGTTAAGTTTCTGACTAATACTTTTTTACTAACTAATGTCTTCGGACCAAACAAATGCCTGAGATGTCAGTAATGAAATAAATAGACAAACAAATCAGTCTGGTTCTTTACAAACAGTTTAGATTAGATGGATTTCCACCTTTCCCAATGTTACAGAAGCATAAAAGAGTTGCAAACACATGTGGCTCTGAGCCAGATTGACTTCGTCATTCAAAGGCTGCTGATATATCTCTGCTGTGTGGATTTTGATGCTATCTCGTTTAGAGGTCAGGCACAACAGTGAAAGGATTTTAAAAGAGCGGAAAGGAAAAGCTCAAAGCAGGTCAATTGAATTCCACTGACCAATGTCAAATACTCATTCCCCGGACCAACAACAGACAGGTAGTAGATAGGGCTTTACATTAACAAGATCTCTGTGACCTTGAAGTAAACAACAGAGAGCTGAAAAATATATAGCTGAACTGAATGTGAAAGAAAAACATGCAGCTTTTCTGTCTTTGTGTTAATTGAAAGACTACACTGAATATTTGACAAGAACTAACTGTTGTATAATGCATGATATAACATATATACTATATGTATTTATGTCTTGTATTATACAAGAGTTAGTTTCTGTCAAATATTCCATGTAGTCTCTCAGTCAACACAAGGACAGAAAAGCTGCATTCATAAACTTTCCAAAAACATTTCATGATTTTTAATCATAAATGCACCAGTAGGTGGTGACAAGTGGCTGTCTTTATGAGTGAGTCACTGAATCAATGAATACAACCAATTATTTTAAAAACACTGATTAGTTCAGTAAAAAACAAGTAACTGTCTTGACTGAGTCGATGAATCATTCATTCAGTCAATTTGCTCAAATACACTTGATTTATTCTGATCCACTACGGTGGGTGTACTCAGCGATGCACAAATTTGATTCTAGTTTTGATTGGAATTCTTTTCATTAGCAGAATAAAAATAGACAACTGGCAATAAATGTAGGTTACACAATATTACAGGGTTTCCCATAAATTTTTTTTTGTGGCGGCTTGCCACAATATCAACACTGACCGCCACAAATAGATTTTCCAAAATGCTTTGACTTTGTTGAATAAACATGAGCACTGCACGTTTCAAAATCAAAACGCAGCACGGGTGTTTTTATATAAATTAGGGATGCACGATATTATCGGACTGATATCGGAATCGGCCGATAATGGCTTTAAATGTAAATATCAGCATTGGCCCGATATGAAAAATTATGTCGATACGTCTTGCCTATAAGGGGAATACGTTAACTCACATTTGCTCAGGGTATGCTAGTGATTAGTGATGCACGATCATGATTTTTCATGGCCGATTCCGATACCGATTTTTTACAAGCAAACTGGCCGATTCCGATTCCTAATGCCCGTTCGGTAAGGAGTTTTAATCTGTAGGGGGCGCTGTTCGCCTACTTTTAATTAAACTAAAAGTAAAATAGCCTACACAAATAACATTTACACTGTTTCTGATGAAATAAAGCAGTAATAGATGTCAAACTAATGAGTATGTTTTGATTTAAAGGTCAGAAGCTATAGCTTACATGAAAAAGAAAAAAAATGACAAACATGACACTTGTAAATGAAATAATTTTATATATACCGATTTATTCATTAATGTTGGTGTTGTTTCCAAGCAAAAGGAAATATCAAAAGGCAAAAGCAAAAGTATCGGTATCGGGCAAAATAAGTTGAAAAATATCGGCATATCGGATATCGGCAAAAATCCAATATCGTGCATCCCTAATATAAATGTATCTTTTTTGAAGGGAACCGACTGCCTTCAGAAAAGTTTTGATGTCATTTTCATTTAATCTTTCCTATAATGCCTGATAAAGTAGCATTAATTTGAGCGCAGCACTGCTTTGATTACAGCCGTTACTGGGGAAACCACTATTTCTGCGCTCCTAAAGCGCCTTCTGCTGGCAGAGAGTGAATTTGCACTTTCAATAAGCCCGTCTGCTGTTTTATATTTAC